AAAAGCTCTCCCTCCCTCCTCTGCCCCAGGCTACCACTGATCTCCATTCTGCCTAGAGTTTTGCCTTCTTAAGAACACCATGTAAATGTTTGGCTTCTCTCACTAGCATAACGCATTTCAGAATCACCCATGTTTTTGCATTTTGCTCTCAATAGTACATTGCCTTTTAATGCTCTGCATTGTTCCACAGTGTGGATATATTACAGCATTCAGCCATTCCCAAGTTGTTACATACCTGGGTTGCTTCAGCTTCTGGCTATCCCAATAATGTTGCTGCAAACATTCACATCCACATCATTTGTGTGGGCATGTTTTCATTTCTCTTAGGCAGACAGTTAGGAGTGGCACTGTAACATCGTACAATGTGTGTGTTGGACTCTGAAAGAAATTGCCAAATGTTTTCTAAAGTGATTGTACCGCTTTGCATTCCCATCAGCAGTGCAGAAGTGTTCCAGAACCCCGCAACTTTCCTAACGCTTAATAATGTCAGTCCTTTAAGACTCCATTCATGTGTGCATCTAGTCGGTTGCTTCTACATGCTGGGTGGTCCTCCATGGTGCTCTCCACCGCATCCTAACATCCACCCCCATCCTCATTAGGGGGTGCCCAGTCTTCCTCTAATTTCGCAGCGCAACAAGTAAATGACTGACAGACACTTCCGTACTTGCCTCTTGGTGACCTGGATGATCATTGACCTAGGATAGACATCAGGAGTGGAACTGCCGGGTCCTAGGGTGTGCACATGCTTAATCCAGCTAAGGAGTGCCAAAAATAACTGTGCCAGTGTCCATTCACACCAGCTGTGCACCAGAGACCCCCTGTGTCTGCATTCCTGCCAGTGCATGGGTTACCCCGCTTTAAAGATTTCTAATGCATTGAATATATATAAAGGGGTTGTTATTTGTATTTGCGTGTGCTTAGATGACCAGTGAGTCTCTCCATCTTTCATCTGACTTTTTTGTTGGTTTCCTCCTTGGCAACTCTGTTCATACCCTTGAACATTCTTCTTGTTTATGTGCAGGATTTCCCAGCACGTTCTAGATTCCAACCCCAGGTCAATGTTATGCTTTGCAAATATGTCCGCCCACTGATTTACTTTCTTCGTGTTGTCTTTCGTTGAGCAGAAATCCTTAATTTTGATAGAATCAAATAGTGTTTGTCTTATGATGAGTCTGTCTGACGTTTTAGTCTTCCCTGACTCCTGCGTCACAAAAATGTTCTCTACCACTATCTTCCATTAGCTTTATGGTTTGACCCTTTGCTTGCAGGTCTTTAAGCAATTTGGTGTTAAGTACCACTATTATACCCATTTGAATGACAGGAAAACTGAGGCATGGAAAAGGTAAGTCACACATTTAAATAAGTGGCAGAGCTGGAAGTCACACCCAGGCAGCCTGGCCTTAGAAACTATGTTCTTAGCTATCTCATCATGTTGCTTCTCTGCTAATTGAGAAGCTGCCATGTGCAGACTGTAAATGCCAATCTTCCTTCTAACAACTCTGAGCAGTAGGTCCTGTTAGTACCAGATGAGGAAACAGAGCTTCCCAAAAGATAAAGATTCTTCCATCCAAAACCATTCTTCAGACTCCATCCTCCTTGCTTTTATTTATTTATATTTATTTTAAAGTAATTTCTACACTCAATACGGGGCTTGAACTCACAACCCCAAGATCAAGAATCACATGATCCACCAGATGAGCCAGACAGATGCCCCCACCCCCCCATGGTTTTAAACACTAACCTATAGTCTCCCCTGTAGGAACCAGGGATGGTGGACTCTGAAATATGATGACTCCCTTGTTCAGAGATATTACTAGTGTTCTTTGCAAAAGTGGCTCCCTCTCACCTTTGGAGTCTTTAATCAATGCTGCCTCCTCCAAGAAGTGCTTCCTGACTACCTGTGAAAAACAGCTTCTCCTCTAATTTCTAACACAAAACTCTGTTTAGATCCTTCATGGATTACATTTATTATTATTTTTTAAATTTTTAAATATTTATTTTTGAGACAGAGAGAGACAGAGCATGAGGGAGGGGTAGAGAGAGATGGAGACACAGAATCTGAAGCAGGCTCTAGGCTCTGAGCTGTCAGCACAGAGCCCATTGCAGGGCTCGAACTCATCAACTACAACATCATGACCTGAGCCGGAATCAGATGCTAAACCGACTGAGCCACCCAGGAGCCCTGGATTATATTTATTATCCCATAGAAATCATTACAATTTGCAGTTAGTTAGTTTAGTGTGTTTGTTAATCTTCTGTAAATCCCCTTGAGGGCGGAGTTTATTGCCACTTCGGTGACTAATAGACAGTTTAAAACAAAAATTCCCAATATTTACCTGCAGATCTATCCCTCCCAAAGTTTCCCCAATATTAGTAAATGGCAGTTCCATTTAGTAAATGGTTGCTCAGGCCAAAGCGTTGAGGTTATCCTTCTGTCTTTTCTCTCACTCTTCATCTGATGTCAACACTGTCCGACAATCTCTTCAAGCAGACCCAGAATCAGACCCGATAACTCCCCTGAGAGCATCACCTGGTCAAGAACCATCACCTCCTGCCTAAGCTATTGAAGGGCAGTCACTTCCACACCAACCTCTTCACCATCTTCCCAATATTCAGATGTACCTGGCCAGCTCAGGTCCTTTGAACTTGCTGTCTGCATGGGTACTGATGCTCAGATATGCACCTGGATCTCTCTTTCCATCCTTTCATTATTTTTTTTTCTCCCTAATGCACCATCATTCCCCAGACCATCTTATTTCTTTTTAATTTAATTTATTTATTTTAAGAGAGGGAGAGATTCCATGTGCATGTGAGGGAGGAGGATACAGAGAGCAGGGAAGAGAATCCTAAGCAGGCTCCGCACTGCCAGGGCAGAGCCCGACATGGGGCTCAAACTCACAAACCAGGAGACCGTGACCTGAGCCGAGATGCTTAACTGACCGAGCCACCCAGGTGTCCCTAGCCCATCCTGCATAAAATAGCAATTCTGGGGTGCCTGGCTGGCTCAGTCGGTAGAGCCTGCAACTCTTGATCTCAGGGTTGGAAGTTCAAGTCCCACGTTGGGCACAGAGCCTACATTAAAAAATAATAATGAAACAGCAACTCCACTCACTCTCCCAACCCCAAACCCCAACATTCCCTCTCCTTCGTCCTCTTCATTTTTGCCATGGTTCACATTGCCACCTGTTACTGGATCTCCTTATTATTATTTTTTTTAAAAATTGTGTCTCCCTGCAAAGTATACGAGCTCTACAGAACAGAAGTTTTACCTAATTCACTGTTTATCAGCTGTGTCTGCAACAGTGCCTGGGTTGTGAGAAGCACCAATATTTGTTAAATGAATAAAGTTGTATTTATGAACAGCCAGGAGAGTGCCTGCACATGGTCAGCACTGAATACATGCTGAAAAAAGTACATGAATGCAACACTTTCTGTTGTTGCTGGGTTTTTTTAAAATTTTTAAATATTTTATTCATTTCTGAGAGAGAGAGAGACAGTGTGAGCAGGGGAGGGTCAGAGAGAGAGGGAGATACAGAATCTGAAACAGGTTCCAGGCTCTGAGCTGTCAGCACAGAGCCCGACATGGGGCTCGAACCCAGGAACCGTGAGATCATGACCTGAGCCGAAGTCAGAAGCTTAAGCAACTGAGCCACCCAGGCGCCCCTTAATGTTTATTTTGGAGAGAGAGAGAGACAGACAGACAGAGGGTGAGCAGGGGAGGGGCAGAGAGAGAGGGAAACACAGAATCCAAAGCAGGCTTCAGGCTCTGAGCTGTCAGCACAGAGCCCAATGTGGGGCTCAAACCCACAAACTGTGAGATCATGACCTGATCCAAAGTCTGGCACTTAACTGACTGAGCCACCCAGACGCCCCGTTGTTGTTTTAAGTAAGCTCTACACCCTATGTGGACCTTGAAGTCCACCCACTCAGGACCTTGAGATCAAGAGTCATGTGCTCTGCTGACTGGAGCCAGCCAGGAGCCCCAAATACAGTTTTTGGACAGTGCAAATTTGGAGGGTGTCGATGACACCCTGAGGTGATATTTGATAGGGAACCATGCAAATAATAATAGTGGGAGGGCTTGAAATTTATAATAATGCTATGAGGAGAAATGAGGAGCCCCATTTAGACACCAAAAGGCAGTGAGTTTTATGACTCGTTCAAGTCAGGGACTCAGTGGCTTGAGCATGTAACTACTGCATGTTGGGGTCACCGGAAGATAAAGATGCTTGTGGGGGAGATATAAGGACAGAATATTTGGCAGACACCAGGGTCCAGGTATGGAGGCCCCTTAGGGTCCTGAACCCCAAAACTCTAGTCTAGTGTGCTGTTGATCTTTAGTAGGCATGGGGATCCAGAGACAGGGCATTCTGGCAAAATATGGGATGTAGGTAGAGATGGGACATTTGGGAGACCCAAAACTATGTGAGAACGAACCATTATGAGGATCCAATATTGGCTGTGATGTGATTAGTCATTCAGTCGTGCCTAGAAAATTGTTGGGCGGAAGATTCTGGGTCCAAGAGAATATTTTTTTTTAAATGTTTATTTTTGAGAGAGAGAGACAGAGTGCAAGTGGGGGAGGGGCAGAGAAAGGGAGACACAGGATCCGAAACAGGCTCCAGGCTCTGAGCTGTCAGCACAGTGCCTGACGCAGGGCTCGAACCCAGACTGTGAGATCATGACCTGAGCTGAAGTCGGACAGTCAACCGACTGAACCACCCAGGCGCCCCAAGAGAATATTTTCAAGATGAAATGTCACAGAAGTCTAGAACATTCTTGAGCACCAAACATAGAAATGTCTAGAATGTTGGTAATCAAGAAATATGTGAAGGGGTACAGCACGCTGTCAAGGAAGTTCCATTCATGGGACATAAATTATTGTTGAGATGAGTCGAAGTATTTAAGGGTATTCCACGGACCGAACATTCCGATGGCTGTCTGGAATTCTATTTTGTTGAGACAGAGGGAGTCCTCCAACATCTTCTGGGTTGGGATGCTGAGGGTCCTGAGGTATTTCAGGATGCAGTATCTGGGAGACCATGATACTGGTAGTGACTGAATGCTTTTGAAACACGAAGTGTCAGCTGGGATCAGACATTAATAGGGATCACTGGTTCAAGTGGAACTTTGGGAGGGGCAGAGAAGGGCTGGGCCAATGGAGTGAGGAGGGCAAGGAGGGAGGGAAGGAGGCAGGTGAACCAACCCAGCGTTTACTGTGGGCCCTTCGTCCGTTTCCACTCTTGGGCTCTGTGTTTTTTAATCGTTTCTTGGATCCATACAACATATTGAGAGACTCGAGTGTAGACACCAGGCCGGTTGGGCTGTCCACATGGGAAGTCTCCCCAGGAGATGATGCCGTGGAGTGTTCCGTTACAGATCAGGGGGCCCCCGGAGTCACCCTGAGTGGGGGAAGAGAGAGTAATGGGGGCCGCGGTGGAGCCAAACAAAGGCACAGGTGGGGACATATGGGAGAGAGTGAAAGACGGAGACACACAGAGGCAGAGATAACGAGAGACAGGACACAGAGAGGGCTAGAGAGAAACAGGAAGACAAGAAGACACAGAGAAGAGGGTCAGCAAAAGAGACACAAAGAGAAAGGTGGAACTAGACGGACATTCAGACCAAGAAGAGAGACTTGTCTCTCCACATTTTTCTCTGCTCTTCAGCCTCCTTAGAATGTTTACACCTTACCTCAAGCCTCATTCTTGGTTCTTTGCCACCAACCCCACCTTGCACCCCCCCATCATGCTGTCCCCCAACCCTGCTGTGGTTCCATGGCCCCTTGGTGCCATGTCACCATTGGGCAAACTCACCCACACCTGGGTAAGGTATGTAACGTGTGTACTCTCACTCCTCCCCCCGGGACCCAAGACATTCCTCACTGATCAATCAAGGCACACACCATTCATTCATTTATCACTCTTTCCCACTAACCCAAAACTCCATCCCAGAAGCCTCCTCTCTTGGACACAAGTTTCATTTTTTGTGGAGGTTTTTTGCCCATGTAGTATCCATTTCTCCTCATTTTCATAACTGCCTTCTGATATTCTCTTTTGGGGAACAGCCCCTCCATGGCCCACACGGTGGGCCATGGTCCACATGATGGACTTGGTCCATCAGAGAATCCCACAGCTCTGGGCAGAGTGAAGGTTCAGGACACATGACTTAAGTCAGCCTAGTGAGAATCATGCTCAGGACGTCTATGTAAACAGGGGCGCTAGGATGGCTCAATCGGTTAAGCGTCCGACTTCAGCTCAGGTCATGATCTTACGGTTTGTGGGTTCAAGACCCATGTTGGGCTCTGTGCTGACAGTTCAGAGCCCAGAGCCTGCTTCAGATTCTATGTCTCTCTCTCATGCCCTGTACCCTCTCACACTCTGTCTCTGTCTCAAAAATAAACATTAAAAAAAAGGATGTTTGTGGTGCCTGGGTGGCTCAGTCAGTTAAGTGTCCGACTTTGGCTCAGGTCATGATCTCGTGGTTCATGGGTTTGAGCCCTGCGTCAGGCTCTGTGCTGACAGCTCAGAGCCTGGAGCCTGTTTCAGATTCTGTGTCTCCTCTCTCTCTGACCCTCCCATGCTCACGCTGTGTCTCTCTTTCTCTCAGAAATAAACTTAAAAAAAATTTTTTTTTAAGAAGGATGTTTATGTAAACAAAGCTCCGGGGAAAAGCTTAATTGAGAATGAAGACAAAAGCAGAAGAGAGAAGAGCTGAAATGAAAAGAGACCGTCTTAAACACATTCATTACTTGTGTACTTGGATCCATCTGTGCCTGAAGCAAGACACCCCTGGACTTTTCAGTTAAAAAAGTCAGTGTGTCTTGCTTTTAAGCTGGTTTGAGTTGGGTTTCTTTCACTTGCAACTGAAACAACACCAACCTTTATGCATCTCAACACAGGGATCTGGGGAGCCAACGTCAGTCAAAGCTGAGGCTCAAGATGAATTATATTCTCCAGTCATGGCTACTCTCTTTTTATCTTGACCTACGTTAGGGGACATGTCCTCTTAAAACACTGGTTCCCCCAAGGCTAAAAGGAAGTTCTTCCCCCACTCCCCGAATCTGTCCCCACCTTCATTCTGGCTTCCCCCCTTAGCCCATGGCAGCCACCCTCCATGCTGTTCTCACCTCACAGGAGTCCTTGCCGCCCTCTTCTGTGCCGGCACATAGCATGTTGGGTGTGATCTTCCCCGGATAGACCTGATGACACTCCTCGTCTGAGCGAAGCTGGATGTTGGCACATTGTAAGGTTGGGGGGTAACTCACTGGGAAGGAGAGAGGGGGGGGTCTCAGGATGGCTGTCTCGACCAGGCTACGGGGTGGGAGTTAAACAGGAGAGTTGGTAGGAAACAGATGCAAAGAAGAAGATGGGGAAGAGATGGAATATGTACCTGGGGAGAGTGGTGGAGGAGACGGGTGTGGGGAGAAATGGGGTACGGGGTGTGGGAGCCAGCAAAAGGGAGATACAGAGAATGCAGGAAAGTGGAGGAAGAGACACAAAAGGGAGAGGAGAAGAGGGATAGGGAAGGACTGTGAGGCAGAAGATTGGGGGTGCGGAAACAAGGGGATGGAAAGCCGTGTGGAGAGAGATGGCAGATCGGGGAGGAAGAGGGAAAGGAGACTGGGAAGAAGCCAGGGCACCACTAAGGAGATGCAAAGGGCCCTCGCTGCTATGAAGATCGATTTTATATTCATGCACATGTAACTTAAACACAAAGGATACACCTGCACGTCCTTACATTTAACAAATACATATCTGCCAATATATCAAACGCATTGTTACATATTTATTTAAATATACTTATGTATAATTTGTCTAACATATAATTTATATACAAACATATTTAAATAAATACATATAGAATTTATGATCTAGAAAATCAACCTATATGATAATTTGCATACTTGGATACAAATGTATAATGATGTGTATTTATATATCATACATGTAGTATATAACATTACAATATTTATGTTTTTACTAATTTATATATTTATATGATATAGTTTATATATTTGGTCTATAACATTGTATAAAATATATAACTATGTACATTTATATATAAAGGATATGTAACATAACTATACATATTTATAAATGTATATATACTTATAAAAGGATATATAACTATATAATCTACGACATATATAACATATATTATAAATGGACATTTGTATAAAGAATATATATAACATAATCTCACTTATAAATGTATATGTATTTATATAAAGGATATAACTATATAATCTATGACATATAACTATAAATGGACATTTGTATAAAGAATATATATAACATATAACTTCATGCTTATAAACGTATATGTATTTATATAAAGGATATATAACATATGTGATATGTAATATATAGTATACAACTATACATGTATATATATATATAAGGGAACCCTCCCCCAACCTTCCCTCCCTTTTCTGCCCCCATTTACCCAGCCACTGACATCTCAGGCCACCTTTTGAGGGTGCATACCCTGGGGGCTGGTGGTGGTGCCCCAGCCAGACACCCGACAGCAGGTGCCAGTGGGGAGGCTGCCGTGGGAGAGGGGCACAACACGGATGTGGTTCGTGAGCTGGACCGGGGACTGCAGCTCCAGAAGCATGATGTCGTGGTCATGGTTCAGGTGGGTGGGGCTGATCTGGTACTGAGGGTGGGGGATAGAACGGACCACCTCCCTCACCTGCTCTCCGGCCTCCACACGCCCCAAGGCATGCTTGCCCAGGTAAACTCTGTACCCTCTGTGGGTGTAGGAAGTGGTGATTAGAGGGGTTGAGCCCATCTCCACCGCCGTCCTCTGCAAACATCTCCTTCCACATCCTCAATTCCAGTCACATTCCCAAACCCCAACCCTAACTCTGACTTCATCCTCAATCCAGACCCACCCACCCCCTCACCTCCCCAGTCCTGTTCCCGTCCCTTCCCTCATGCTCCCCTGACCCCCACATACGCCTTCAGACAGTGTGCTGCAGTGAGGACCCATTTGGGGTGGACCAGGATCCCCCCACAGAGCAGCCGGTTTTGCACTAGCAGGGCCGCCTGCCAGGGCTGAGAGTGCGGGCGGCAGGTGTAGCCGCCAGGGAGAAACCCGCTGGTCCCATTTGTGCCGTTGAGGATCTTGGGAAACTCCTGAGAGATACCTGATGAAGAAGAGAAAATGTTAGGGAACTGGGGTCCATGGGGAGGAGGCGGCCTTGGGCTTGGGGAGAGGGTCAGAATTTTGCTCTGGGTGACCAGGAACTGATGGTTCATTTGTTGGTCTGTGGGAGTTGCCATCCTCCATGTGATGGAGAGGAGTCAGGGCAAAGTAGAAGTGCTAACTCCATCAGGGGTTCACAGAGTTCATGGAACAAGGAAGCTTCTGATAGGTAAATGCAAGCCTGACTTTCTCCCCACCTGCATCTTCTCACCCTACCATGGGAATGGATTTTAGGAGATAGGAATGAGACTGACCTATATATCTACCAAGGAGGTAAGTAGGTATCCATCCTATTCATTCATCCATCCATCCATCCATCCATCCATCCATCCATCCATCCATCATCCATCTGTCCATCCATTCTTTCAACACATATTTACCAGGTGCCTCTATGGATTTAAATATAACCCACAGCCTAACTACTCTCAAATTCAAAGTTTGTAGGACTCTGTATCATCTGATTCTTACCAGCCTCTCTGGTCCCATTTCCCACCTTTCCTCTTCATATACTCTGTTCCAGAGCTGTAGACCCCTTCTCCAGACATATCATACTCTTTGAACTTGCTGCTGCTTCTTTCTGGACAGTTCTTTCTCTAGACCCATGCTGTTCAATACGGTAGCCTCTAGCCACTTGTGGATATTTACATTTAGATTCATTAAAATGAAATAAATTCAGCTTTTCAACCTCACCTGTTACATTTGTTTTTTTCTTTTAAAATTTTTAAATGTGTTTTATTCATTTCTGAGAGAGAGAGAGGAACATGAGCAGGGGAGGGTCAGAGAGAGAGGGAGACACAGAATGTGAAGCAGGCTCCAGGCTCTGAGCTAGTTTTCCGCACAGAGCCCAACACTGGCCTGGAACCCATGAACCGTGAGATCATGGCTTGAGCTAAAGTCGGTCACTTAACTGACTGAGCCACCCAGGCACCCCTCACCTGTTACATTTGAAATGCTCAAGAGCCCATGTGGCTAGTGGCCACCATAGCAGGCAGGGCAGATATAGGACATCATATATATGAAATATTCTACTTGATGGCACTCAGAATCTACAGGTTCCATGTCTGTGTCCATCTTCACTCTGAGAGTTCAGTGCAGTTCAAACATCACCTCCTCAGAGGCCATCCCAGATTGCTGGCCACCTGGTCTAATGTGGTCCCTCCTAGCTCCCCAGTTATATATATATATAGTTATATATATATATAGCTCCCCTATTATATTCCCTCCATTGATTTCCATCAGAGCCATGACTGCTATTCATTTCTCTCTCTATTTGTTTACATTTATGTAGATTTTTAAAAAATCTCTGCAACTTGACTATAAGGATCATTGATAACAGGCACCGTAACTACTTTATTCAGAGCTATTTCTCCAGGACCGAGCACAGTGTCTGACACATAGTAGGTGTTCGATCAGTAAGTGTTGTGTGCTAGCCACTATGCCCAGCAGTGGAGACACAGCAGTCAACAATGGGAGAGCAAGTCCAATCCTAAATGTGCCACTTTCTGGCTGGGTGATGCCGTACCAGCATCTCCAGCCTTAGCTTTCTCATTGGGCTCACCACCTGGCATAGAGCAAGAGCTCAGTAAGTGGGGACTGTTATTAATTAGCTACAGGGGTGTCTGGGTGGCTCAGTCAGCTAAGCATCCAACTCTTGATTTCTGCTCAGATCATGATCTCGTGGTTAATGAGTGTGAGTTCTGCGCTGATAACTCAGAGCCTCCAGCTTGCTTCAGATTCTGTGTCTCTCTCTGCCTTCCCCTGCTCTTGCTGTCTCTCTCTCTCAAAAATAAATAAACATTAACGAGAATTATTAGCGGATGCCTGGGTGGCTCAGTTGGTTGGTTAAGAGTCTGACTTCAGCTCAGGTCATCTCGTGGTTCGTGAGTTCAGCCTCTGTGCTGACAGCTCAGAGCCTGGAGCCTGCTTCACATTCTGTGTCTCCCTCCCTCCCTTCCTCCCTCCCTCTCTCTCAAAAATAAATATTTAGGAGCGCCTGGGTGGCTCAGTCAGCTGAGTGTCCGACTTTGGCTCAGGTCATGATCTCGCGGTTCGTGGGTTCGAGCCCCGCGTCGGGCTCTGTGCTGACATTTAGCTCAGAGCCTGGAGCCTGCTTTGGATTCTGTGTCTTCCTCGCTCTCTGACCCGCCCCTGCTCACGCTGTCTCTCTCTCTCTCTCTCTCGGAAATAAATAAAACACATTAAAAACATTTTAAAAAATAAATAAATATTTAAAAAAATTATTAGATACAGCAGGAGGTCCCCAGCTCTGTGGCCAGTAGGCTCTTCTCCCTGGCCAGCTTCCCCACCTGCATAAGCCACAGGACTGGCTCAGAATTGGGGACAGCAGTCTTGGTGGGCACAGGTCATTTTAGGTGGCACAGAGATGAGGTGTCAGTGACATCAGATTGCAGCCTCAGAAACAGTCACTTCCCAGTTCTCTTCCAATCCTGATTTTGTCAGGGAGAAACAGGGCTCCATGATGGGGCTAATAGGCTTTTAATACCTCTCCACTCCTCACTGAGCTCACTTTTTAAAACCTGGAAGAAGGGTACCTGGGTGACTCAGTAGGTTAAGCAGGTTATGCATCTGACTTCAGATAAGGTCATGATCTCATGGTTCATGAGTTTGAGCCCCGTGTTTGGCTCTGTGCTGACAGTTCAGAGCCTGGACCCTGCTTCGGATTTTGTGTCTTCGTCTCTCTCTCTCTGCCCCTCCCTGGCCCTTGCTCTGTCTCTCTCTCTCAAAAATAAATAAACATTAAAAAAAAAAAAACAACCTGGAAGAAGAGACGCCTCTAGCCAGCAACTTGCCATTTATTAAGCTGAACTATCTGCCATCGCCATTTTGGGGAAGGTCAAAAAAGTCCACTACTGACAATGTCAGATGGTCCAACCCAATAAACACATTGTTTTTGTTACATTGTGCAGGATTTATTTTTCCTTCTTACCTTTTATTTATAGCAAAGGGTGCTCTTTTCCATTTAAGACAGCAATATAAACTTTACCTTTAATATACTGTAAGTTAAAAAAAAAAGAGTTGACTGTAAGCAGACCATTAGATCTAAAATAATGAAGATGGCCGGCCAGAGCCTCAAGTCCAGGAGGCTGGGGACGGGGCAGCCAAAGTGGACTGGGATCCTGACTCAGGCGTCACAGGTGTCTTTGGGGCAGGACCTGCTGTCTCAGACTCCCAGGGTTTTAGCTACGAAACTGGAGTAATTATAGTGTTCCTACCTCATAAGGCTGCTGAGGGCTCCACAAGATGGTGCATGTGGGCTCAGGGCGTGGTACCCAGGAGGGGCTTGGGACATGGGCCCACGTCCTGGGAATGGCGCCAAGGAAGAGAAACCGCCCCACCTTCAGGCCCAGGGTGGTGCCAGGTGCCCGAGGACTCCTCCCTCCTCAGGTCTCAGCTCAGGGGTCCAGCTGTTGAGGGGCCTTCCAAGCCAGGAGCTGCTATTACATCTCCAGGCTCCTGGCTTGGCTCCTTGAAGCCATCACCTCCTGTCACAGTTGTAACTAATTATTAACTAATTATTTGAGTAATTGTTTGAATAATGCCTGCATCCTTCCCCGCTAGGCTCCGGGTGCTAAGAGCAGGAACCGTGTCTGCTTGCATTACAGCACCCAGAACAGTGCTTAGTGCTCAGCAGCTTGTTGGTTAAATGAAAGGATGGATGGACGGTTGGACAGACAGATGGATGGGTGGACGGATGACGATGCCTAAGAATCTGCCTGCAAATTTGCCTTAAACATGAGGAGGAATCTTTGGGGGCTGACTCAGGGGGAAATCAGGTTTGGGAGTCACCCCAAAGATTAAAGGAAGAACAAACTAAAAGGTTCTGGAAGGGGCTGATAATGAAGAGCAAATACTACCAATAACGTAACAACTACTAACTTTCCAGCCCCTTCCATCTGTCGTACATTAGCTCATTGTAACATTCACAACAACCTTTTGTAACAGGGGCTTAGATGTTCTCATTTTACAGATGAGAAACCACAAAGAAGCTAAATTACTTGCTCAAAGTGACAGCGTCAGGATTTGAACCCGAGGGTCCCTCCTCCACGTCTCACGAATGCCCTGACGGGGGGGGGGGGTTGCTGCGGGGGCAAGGGCTGAAAGTGTGTTGGGGGGCATTCAGGGTGCAGAGTAGCGCAATCAGGGAAAAGCCTGGTGAGGAAGATCAGAAGACTTAAAAACACGAGAGGGCTCGCCAGAGCCGGGACGCCCCAGATAGGGGTCTGGGGTCGGCGGGAGAGTGGGCTGACCCCAGCCCAGAAACCAGGTCACGCCGGGACAAGCAGGAAGCTCTCGGGGCTGTCCCTGAGGACACGGCCTCGAGTGGGCGGTGGGCGGAGCTCAGGGCTCCCACGCCCCCACCTCCTGGCCTGACCCCTCCTACCATTGTTCGGGTGGCCACCCCGCCTCCACCCCCGCGCATTCTTACCGCCTGACAAGGCCACAGTCAGAAAGGCGATCACGGCGGCCAGCGGCCACATGGCGGCTCCGGGGTGGGGAGCAGGGCGGGCGGGGCCTAGAGAAGTTGTGGGGGAGGTGTCACGGGCTGGCTGGAACCCCCATCTCTGACCGCCCCTCCCTCCTACCTGTGCCCCTGCACTTTCCAGTCTAAAATCTCTCCTTCAGGAAGAACCTTGACCCCGGAATTTACACGCCCTTCCCAAATTCCATCCTCGGTGGGGAGCCCAGTAAGGAGGTGAGGGGGGCAGAGGCAGCGTGCACCCGCGTGCACCCGCGCCCTCCAGCGAGCTGGGGGCCTCGGTACCCGCTCCCGCCGCTCTCGGAGCCCTTGTTCCCCTCTCAGGGTCGTCCCGGGCACCTGGCCTCAGACAGCTTAACTTTCAGCGTGCTTCACGCTCCTCAGCTCTGCAGATTTGCATCTCTAACTAAACCTCTGGCTTCCTTCTCCATCTCCCTGACTCAGCTCTTCTCCCCCTTTCCCTTTTCCTGCTCACATCTCCTTCCTCTCCCCACTCCTCCCCTCTGATGCTCCCGCCCCTGCCCCAGGCGGACCCTACCTCCGTGAGACGCCCAGATGCAGAGCTTCGCCGCCAGCTGCCTCCAACTTCAGCCTGGACCCATGGCTTTTAACCCCTGGATTCCCTCCCCCAGCGCCCTCAGCATTTCCCTGTTGCTGGCCTCCCCCTCTCCACCCCCAATGGCTCAGCAGGCTGCTGCCAGGCACCCCCCAGCCTGGGTTTGGCCCTAGCGCTTAGGGCGGGGCTTCCAGGACAAGCTGAGACCCATACCTAGCCCCGCCCAGGCCCCATTTGAACCCACTGTGAACTTGGAGGCTGCAAGACCCACCCTAGAGGGAAGGGGAAAGCCATTTCCTTCCTCAAACCCACTCTAAATCCCTATGGCCCTCGCTAACATCAATCCATTTTCCATCCCACTTTCTAATCTCTTCAACCCCTCCAACCCAACCTCCTTACATCCATCAGCTCCCAGATGGCCATGTTCGACCCTGTTCTTATCTCCCTAATTTTAACCATGCTCCTTACAGTCAGCCTATCCTCCAAACACAATCCCATCAACAGCCTTATCTCAAGTTTATCCGAACCTCAATCCCAACACATCCAAATTCCAGTTCCCGACTTCATCTTCAACACCAACTCTATCTCCATCCCTTCTGAAATCCACCGAGATGCCTTAATTTATTCCGCCATTCCCCTCCCTCCATCCCACCCCCAAAACCATCAGGCACAAGAAGGGAATCTTCAGCTACGTGGCTATAAAGTGAACTGTACTTGGATGGGGCCTGAGAAAGTAATATTTTGGGTAAATGGCCTTTAAGGAGCAGGGCCAGTTGGGGTGAGGGAGTCCATGGGATGTAGGTGGAGAGGGAGAAGCAGGAATCGGAAGGTTCTGGGGGCCAGGATAATGGGGAAGAGGAAGGAGGAAGAGGTGGTGTTTTGGGAATGAGTAGGTGTCTCTTGGAACTGTGACTGGGTGGGGCCATGAATTAATCCTAGGGGGTGGAGGGGGCAGGATTAAGGATTAAGGAGGGCAGAGGTGGGGTCAGAATTTGGAAGAAAGCCAGGCATGGGGATCAGATGAAGTTTGGAGAGAGAGCAGTGGTATCATAATAAGGATGAGGGATTAAGTTGACAGAGTAAAGGTTCACATCACAATGGTGCAGTCCATGTTGGAGAAGTTTGGATATAGGGATATAGTGACAAAAGATAAGTTGTTGTTTTTTTTAAAGGATCTAACCAGGACTCTCCTACATATATAAAATAAACATATGTCAAAGATTTTATTTGGATCCATTAATAAATGATGGAGCTAGTAAGATGTTACAAAGACCCACATGGGTAGAGGCAATAAGGAATACTGAAATGGATTTATAAATAGATGGAAAACTGGTTTATTCTACATGTGTGGGGGGAGGAAAATTAATTGTACTTCCACCTGACAAAACTCATTCGTAGGGTTATAGACAAGAATGATTTGCATTGCTATCAGCTGTCTATGATTTACAGCGTTGTAAAGTAGCTCAAAGACAATAATAGAGGCAGAGATTCCATAAAATCAGATAACCCGTTTGGTTTTCCATCAAGGACATCTGTTGGGTTCATCTCAAAGTCTTTCACATTTTTTTTCTCTGCACTGAGAACAAAAGTTTATGGACAGGTTTAGGATGGGTCTGATGACAGCACTGGGAATGCAAGTGAGTTTGAGGAGGAGAATAGACATAGGGTGAGGATGGGGTGTGAGTTGGTTTTGAGGATAGGATTGAGTTCTAGATGAGAGGGATCTGGGGGATAAGAATGTTGATGAAGTCCATTAGGGTTGGGGTTGGAGACTGAGCCAATACTGAGGATTTGGATGGAAAGTGTTGAAATACAGCTGAGCCGGGGTTCTGGGTTGGCGGTGATAATGAGGACTAGATGTGAGGTTGGGTGTCTGCATTACAGTAGTTTTTTTTTTTTAATGTTTATTTATTTTTGAGAGAGAAGAGACAGAGCATGAGCAGGGGAAGGGTGGAGAGAGAGGGAGACACAGAATCTGAAGCAGGCTCCAAGCTCTGAGCTGTCAGCACAGAGCCCAGCATGGGGCTCGAACTCATGAACCTTGGGATCATGACCTGAGCTGAAGTTGGTGGTTTACCAGACTGAGCCACCAGTAGGTTGGCTGCACCTAGTAGGTTTTGGTGGGAATGGACTGGCTCATAGCTGTGAGCTTCTCTTACGTTGTCTTTCTCCACTTTGAAATTCCCTCACCTCACAAGGCTGGACCCAGAGTGGGTACTGAGTTCACTCTTGGAGTCATGTTGGGTTCAGGTTGGGTGGAGGGTGGATTCAGGAGGAAGAAGGATGCAGGTTAAGTGAGGTGACTGATATGCTTGTGTGGGAAGTCATGGTACCTATGCCCTCTTGTAGCCTGGGTCCACACTTCCAGAAAAGTCTTTCTCGCGTGGGAAGGGCTGGATCCTGGAGTAGGGTTGGCTGCCTTTGGTATTGCTTAGGGGCGAGTACCAGGTCAATGCTGATATGATTGGCCAGGACTTAGGCTGACTGACTCATGTTGAAGTAAAGTCATAGACCCACCGAGAGTTGGGTGCATTCCACCCCCTCACTTGATCAGTAAGGCAACTGGAGCCCATGGAGGGCAGTGGAGCTGCTGAAAGTCAGAGAACTAGACCAAATCCAGCTGTACTGTCTCATAGATCAGGATCTTTCCCTTGTCTGAGGGCAGGGCTGGAGAAAGGACTAGAAAAAGAGACAGTGTCCCTAGTGGTTCAGAGCTGAGACTCTGGAGCTAGACTGTTCAAGTGACATGAGTTCAAGTGACATGGCCACTCAGTGTCCCCATTTGCAAAATGGCGCTACCAATAGCACATACCTCATAGAGGAGGGTTAAATGAGTTAGCATTTGAAGGTGCTTGGATGAGAGCCTGACAGAGACCAAGGGCCACAAATGTGCTTGTTAATTAAGTAAAGCTGTAGATGGAGGTAGCCTGAGGTTTCCAGAGGCCCCACCCTAGCTTGGCTTCAAAATGGGGTTCTTTGTCAAGCAAGGACTGGAAGTTCTGGTTGGAAGTGCTGGCTGGCTGGGATGAGAAAGTTGGCCCCACACCCAGGCTCAGAGGAGAGGCCCCGATGCAAACATGAAGGGAGGGGGAGATAGAGAAAGATGCATAGGGATAAATACACAGAGATAGAAAGGCAGGGTGGGTGGGAGGACAGAGGAAATGCAGAGAGAGACACGCACACAAAGGCACCAAGGTGGATGAGTGCCTGGGTGGCTCAGTCAGTTAAGCATCTGACTTAATCTCAGCTCAAGTCATGATCTCTCAGTTCATGAGTTCGAGCCCCACATTGCGCTGATAGTGCAGAGCCTGCTTGGGATTCTTTGTCTCTCCCTCTCTCTCTGCCCCTACCCTGCTTACGTACACTTGCTCACACATGTTCTCTTTCAATAAATATATTTTATTTTATTATTTTAAAAAACATTTTATTTATTTCTGAGAGAGAGAGAGACAGCATGAGCAAAGGAGGGTCAGAGAGAGGCTCTGAGCTAGCTCCAAAACAGGCTCCAGAGCTAGCTGTCAGCACCGAGCCCGACGCGGGGCTTGAACCCATGAACCGTGAGATCATGACCTGAGCCAAAGTCGGACGGACACCCAACCAACTGAGCCACCCAGGCACCCCTCAATAAATATATTTTAAAAAGATATATAAATATTATATATATATATATATATATATATATATATTTTAAAGACCTTGAGATGGAAAGACAGGGAAGCCTGGGGAAAAACCAGACTTGGGCTCTTGGAGAGAAAGATGCACAAATTGTTGAAACACATGAATTCTTCTCTGGAGCTGGGTCTATGTCGTTAAGGATGTCACTCCCAGTCCTGTCTTTGCTGTGCAGAAACAGCAAACCACTTTTCACCCATCAGAATAGTAAAAACTAAAAAGGTCGCTCTTGCCACCTACCTACATCTGTGCCCACATCCTCTGCCTCCTCTCCTATTTCTGTAGGTGAACAGCCTGTGTCTCCCTCTAACGGACCCTCCACTTGTGCCTGGTGTCCCGTCCTTCTCACCTCCTGGGGGACATTGTTCCAGCCAGCACTGCTCTGCTCCCTTGCCTGCGTCAATTTTTTTTCTTCCCCATGAACATACAAACATAATACATACAGTAGCTTCCATGTTCCATTAAAAGAATTAGAACAAAAACAAAACCTCTCAAACCTTCATGCTCTCGTTGAGCATTCTGGCACAGTGTTTTTCCTCCCCTTGACTGCAATTTTGCTCCTGTAAAGTTGTCTACACTCACTGTCAACTCCTGGTCTCTCTTGAGCCCACTCCATGGCACCAAACACTTCAGTGTTGGTGAACCCATCTTACTTGAGCTATCAGCAGCGTTTAACAAGTGGATCACTCTGTTCCTTCAAAGAGATTATTTTTTCCTTGGCTTCTGGGACACTATACCCTCCTCGTCTTCCTCATTGTTCACTGGTTGCGCCTCATCCGTGTCTGGTGCTGCTTTCTCCTGGCCCGTCTCTTCATGGTGGAGTTCCTCGGGGCTGGGCACTTGGTCCTGTCCTCTCTTCTGTCTACACTCACTCCCTCGGTGATCTCATCTGACCTCGTGGCTTTACATGCCATCTATATGCAGATGACTCCCAAATTTATGTCTCTAGCCAGACGTTGCTCCTGAACTCTTTTTTTTTTTAATGTTTTATTTATTTCTAGGAGAGGGAGAGAGACAGCGTGAGCAGGGGAGGGTCAGAGAGAGAGGGAGTCACAGACTGAAACAGGCTCCAGGCTCTGAGCTGGCAGTCAGCACAGAGCCCGACGCGGGGCTCGAACCCACGAACCGCGAGATCATGACCTAAGCGAAAGTCGGACGCTTAACCGACTAAGCCACCCAGGCACCCCATTGCTCCTGAACTCTTAACTTGACATCCAGATGCCTGCCGCACATATGCATGCCCAAAACCAATCCCCGGGCTCTCTGCAGCTCTCCAGGTCCAAACAGGCTCCTCTCAAAGAGTCTTGATCTTCTCCACTGGTGGTCTCTCTTTCCTTCCAGTCCTCAGTATGAAAAAACCTTCATCTCTC